TAAAAAGTCAAAACCCCTCATCACGTCTCCTCTGATTGGGGGAGGATTCCTTCCATTCAGTCGTTGGAGCCAATCAGGAGAGAGAAACTTCTTCCTTGACAACAGACCGGCGGATTCCTCACATAGCTGGAACATTTCCAAACATTTACGTACGACGATAGGTGCCACAAACACACAAAACACACACAAAAAACACACAAATCAGCTTTAAGCATCTCAAACTTATCACTAAATGCATCAGATACTTGATCCAAATGATTTTAATTATTCATTTTCAATTTCACAGAAAGTAGAAAAATATCCAATAGGCATTGGCTTAAATAAACCAACAAAAAAACAAAAGAAAGAAAGAAAAAAATAGAGTATACAGTTCCACATGTGGAGGAAGAAATAAAAATAGAAAAAGTACAACAGCATGCCTTCCTTTATGACCTTTAAATCCTTTTTTTAACTTTTTTAAATTGTGTTTATTGAATTTCGCAAAAAAATACACATAAAAGTCACGTAAATGTCCCCACATTTTGCGTCATATTCAAACATGGTAGTACAAATAAACAAAATCTCCCAATCCCTCCCTCCCAATGTAGGACTACAGATTGTAGAATAAATACCACCATATAAAATATATAAGATTAAATAAAATAATAATAGTAATAATAATAATAATAATAGCAGTAATGACAATAATAATAACAATATCACTGCCACAATCTGTAAAAATAACAATAATAATAGGTTTCAGACCTTTAAATCCTTTTAACAAAATGGCCGATACATTCGGGTCAAGGTAGTTCAAATAAGGTTCCCATATTTTATAAAACTATTTTGATTTGGAGTGTATCATACATGTTAAATATTCCAAGGGTATCAACTAAAAAAGCACCTTATGTCAGCCTTTAACTCTATTATTTATCCAATAATTGCAATAAAATATTCTTCCTGGCTGCATATGTAAGAATAAAAAACAGTCTCTGGTTTATTAACAGAACATATTTAAATGGAAAGCCTAGAATAAGAGACATTGGGTCCATCTGTTCATTTGTACATTCAGATCTATATTTTTAAAGATTGTATTTTTCAGTTTTATCATTTCTGTTCTATATTTTTATTTCTATTTAAGTGTTGTGTTGTGCACCAAACACCAAGGCAAATTCCTTATAAGTCTAAAAACTTACTTGGCAATAAACCTTATTCTGATTCTGATTCTGATTCTGATTCTGATCCGTAGTTTCAGTCCTAATATCAATCCAAATGATTTTTAATGGGTTTTCTTCTCTAACCTGCAGCAGAAAAGGCCCTTTTGAAGGTGTCCATAACCTCCAACGTAGGTTTCATTTCAGTATTTTAGCCTGAGGACTCAAGCCGAACTTGTTTTGAAGCTTCTTTGACAAAGGAATCTCTCCGTTTTTAAGCATTTTATCTGCCAACGTGCACGTTTTTGGGGCTTTTGGACGAAAAACAAGAAGAAGCACTTTCTCTGTGTTTCAAGCAAAAATAACCAAATTCAAAGGCCCTCTGAGCTCATCTGGAGTAGATATATTAAATCTAAAGTGGAAGGGCTGGTGAAATTGCATTTAATGCATTTAAAACAGCCACTTTGCAAACAGAGAGCTTTGTTTTGATGGCAGATTTGTGATCCTGATTGGTTAAAAACACAACACACACATTAGCTGTTGGCTTCTGACCAAAATGCCCCGGAGGGTTTTTCCATTTTGAGCTTCTGAAGCATTTTGAGGTGGATTTAAATGCCTTCGGGGCCACATTAATGTCTGTCAACAAAAATAAAACGTTAAGTTTAAAGCCCTCGGGAGCATTACATCTCATGCAAATTCGGAAATATAAAAATAACTTTTTAACCAGCAAACTTGTGGGAAAAGTACTGGAGTAGAAGTACAAGTACTATATAAAAAAAATTGACTTTAGTAAAAGTTAAAGGGTTCTTCTGTGTGGCATTATGGGGTTGAGTCTCCTCCAAAGGCAGTTTGTTAACCCTTTAAAGCCTGATCCAAGAATAAAACAAAACAGAAAATTCTTTTTTTTTTGTTTTAAGTCTTTAGTTGGCCTTTAAACAAAATATGTAAAAAGAAAAAACAGAAATACATTTTTAATATTAATAATTTATTACTATGCGATAAGTCAAGATTATTTTTTGTGTAGTCTTCTGCCCCCTGTTATCAGGTGTATCTGATTGTGTACAATAGGATTTTGAACAAAGTTTTTACCAATAAATTAACCCTTTAAAGCCTGATCCAAGTATAAAACAAAACAGAAAATTAATTAATTTTTTTGGTTTTAAGTCTTTATTTGGCCTTTTAACAAAATATGTAAAAAGAAAAAACAGAAATACATTTTTAATATTAATAATTTATTACTATGTGTGGTCTTCTGCCCCCTGTTATCAGGTGTATCTGATTGTGTAAAACAGGATTTTGAGCAAAAATTTTACCATTAAATTAAGCAAAAGGTGTCAGACGCAAAACATTTCATAAACAGTACGTATCAGATATGACACATTTGGCATTACAGGGTTAAAAACTAGAGTGGATTGCAAACACATTCCTGCTGACTGGATTCTTTCCTCCTCTCAGGTGAACTTTGAAACCCCTCCTGCTCTGAAAAAAGCACACGTTGTGGCCACGCCCCTCCAGGAAGTCCCAGAAACCTTGAGCCAGGTATAAATACGGTTTATCTAACCGTGTTTCTCTCAGACTCCTCCAGACGAGCCCAGCTCCACCTGTCTGTCCCAGAGATGCCCGCTAAAAGAGTCTACGCTTTGGCCGCCCTCCTGCTGCTGACCGCCCTCATCAGCAGCACACACTCAGGTCAGTCCAACTCAC